AGAGAATGACGAGAAACTGGCTGTGATAATTTTAGGGTTGGGTTGGGGTGTATATAATCTAATTTTCATAATACTTTTATTAATATCTAATTAAATATAAAAAATCTGTATCTATACATTTAAATATCTGATTTTTGAAACTTAAAACACCAAATCTGATTTTAGAAATTAAATTTTCAAATGTAGGGGAGGGTGTAATTTCCACAAGAAAAAAATTGGAAACACGTTTTTCAATTTTACATCCGATCATGATAGAATCGAAAAATTGCATCCCCATAAAAACATCCAACGAAAAAAAATATATTTTGCTTCAATTTTATGTGGATGTGCAAGCTATAAATCAAAATTCGTTGGTCTCGATAATAATCTGTCATAACCCCTTGAGTAGAACTCATCCTCAAAAGCTAGCTGTTAAGGGAAGGGTGCCCAAAGGGTTATAAGCCCCACATTTTCAGCTCATACTTCTGATGCGGGATCAAGTTCTCATAAACCCCCCAATGGAAACCATGACAAATCTCCACGCTTCCGGCTCAACGTCCACGTCGAGCAGGTGTCCATACACCCTAAGTGTGTTCAATGCGGTGCCTGCTCATATACCACTGTCATAACTCTTTAGGTAGAACTCACCCCCAAAAGCGAGCTGTTAAGGGGAGGGTGCCCAAAGAGTTATAAACCCCATATTTTCAGCCCATACTTCTAATGTTCGATCAACCATGATACAATCAAAGGTTGAGACCAACCTACTATCCCAACAATAAATGGAGGAATGAAAGGGTCTTAATTTCAATTATTCTAAAATATCAATTATTTAAATCAAATTGTTCAAATGATGCCATCTTTCTAAGTAGTCCTCCCGTCACTGAAAGACAGACAGACAGACACACACACACACACACACATACATACATACATACATACATACATACATATATATACATATATATATATATACATATATATATATATATATATATATATGTTATAAAGATTTTGTACAAAAACACCAAATCTGATTTTAGAAATTAAATTTTCAAATGTAAGGGATGGTGTAATTTCCACAAGAAAAAAATTGGAAACACATTTTTCAATTTTACATCCGATCATGATAGAATCGAAAAATTGCATCACCATAAAAACATCCAACGAAAAAAAATATATTTCGCTTCAATTTTATGTGGATGTGCAAGCTATAAGTCAAAATTCGTTGGTCTCGATAATAATCTGTCATAACCCCTTGAGTAGAACTCATCCTCAAAAGCTAGCTGTTAAGGGAAGGATGTCCAAAGGGTTATAAGCCCCACTTTTTTAGCTCATACTTCTGATGCGGGATCAAGTTCCCATAAACCCCCCAATGGAAACCATGACAAATCTCCACGCTTCCGACTCGACGTCCACGTCGAGCAGGTGTCCATACACCCTAAGTGTTAATTGAGACCGAAAGAAGAAATCTCGTAGGTCCAATGCGGTGCCTGCTCATATACCATTGTCATAACCCTTTAGGTAGAACTCATCTCCAAAAGCGAGATGTTAAGGGAAGGGTGTCCAAAGAGTTATAAACCCCATATTTTCAGCCCATATTTCTAATGTTCGATCAGCCATGATATAATCAAAGGTTGAGACCAACCTACTATCCCAACAATAAATGGAGGAATGAAAGGGTCTTAATTTCAATTATTCTAAAATATCAATTATTTAAATCAAATTGTTCAAATGATGCCATCTTTCTAAGTCGTCCTCCTGTCACTGAAAGACAGACACACACACACACACACATCCTTGAAATCAAATTGTTCAAATGATGCCATCTTTCTAAGTAGTCCTCCCGTCACTGAAAGACAGACAGACAGACACACGCACACACACACACACACACACACACATCCTTGCTTCAATCACCATAAACGCAAGGTACATACATATCCTTACATACATACATATACAAAACTGTATGTTATATCTGTGTTGTGTACTTGTTCGCGTTTTGTTTATTTATACGTGTATGTGTAATTGAACTGCGGGTATTGAATTTGATTGACTTTTCGATTGCTTTGATATTTTATTCGTTTTTTTATATTGATTGATGATTTTTAATTGGTACTCTAGCGAAATTCATTGCTGATTGCAGCTACGACTTTTCTTGAAGGTTCAATGATTTGTGTGTTACTGATTTTATATCTAGTTTAGGGCTTTTGAGATATTTAATTGATTGAGCTCCTGGTTTTAACGCTTCAAAGAATTATTGTTTGTACCTGTATGAGGACGGATATTTTTAGTTTCTGTTTGTTTATTTATGTCAATTTTATGAGTCAATAATATTGATGCCAGTTGCAAGGGTGTTTATGTTGTCAGAGTTGTATTTACTGCAGGATTACTACTTTATGACGTCGTCGTCGTCGTCGTTGTTGTTGTTCAACTTCGTTGTGATTAGGGGTTGATTTTGAAATGTTTTGTTGTGGTAATGAGATTAGGTTTGACCACACCGACGTACAAATATTCTGTTCAGAAAAATTATTTGATGTTCCCTTTAACAGGTCATTTCTGTTTTCTTTCTTTTTGAAGTTCATCAGAGTTAAATATCCCACTGTCCTCATGCAAATTTAAAAAAATTATTAATATTATTGGAAAATTATCAGTTTGGTCTTAATGTTTCACTTATCAGGTTTCATATGTGAATCAAGGACAATAATGTTGTTGATTTTGCGGCTTCTTTTTGTGAAGTTTATTTGATATAATTTTCATGTAGTTGTATCTGCCCTTGACACCACATACCTGCAGTTTCTAAACATGAATATGAGTGTTGTGGACATCAAGTGGATATTACCAGCTAGCTAGCTTCCTCTAAAAAAATTGGAATAAGCAAAAATAAATAAAATTGAAGTATCATGATGATATGTTCTGGGTGATTGGGAAAGTAAACCACTTTTTTTGTCAGTAGAAATTTTTTAAGTGATGAGGTGGGAGAAGCGATGATATCATTGGTAGTTTGAAATTCTGTATCTTGTATAGAGCTGAAGCGAAAAAGTAGTCAATTCCTAGGGTTTTGGAAATCTTCATTTGGATCAATTAACAGTTGGGTTCTTGTATTCCGTGGGGCTCCAATTAGAAGAAGAGGAACATGTTACAACCATTATATTGTATTTTGTCTTCTGAAAGGTAAAAATGTATTTCCCAAAATTTGATCAAAGTTTACCTCCTATGGTTGTTAATATGTTGGCTTCCCGCCATCCACTTTTAATTTCATGGTATACGTCACAGAAATACAACCAAGACATCTAGATATTGGATATGCAAGTATCACAACTTCCTTGTATCGGACAATTGCATTGTGCTTTAAATTCTGTTGATACTCAGCCTCTTGAACTCCAAACTGTGTTTATGATGGAATACTAATACAATTGTTATCAAATATTTTATCACCTTGACGTTTTGCTTTATGTGACCTCCATATTGTTATGACCAAACTTTTGTCAATTCCATTTTGGTTTTGAGAATGATTTAGATCATACTTTCGCTGATGTTTTTTTCCTTTTCATGTGTAGGGACGGGAGACAATGAGCAAAGTGCTTGTAGTTTCAGGTGGATAAAATAAACAAATAGACATGGGCAGCTGCTGCTGCTGCTGCCATGCTTCCAGGACTGTAGAACTCAACCCTTCACCACCATTCTATCATGTGAGTATTTTTTTATAACCTCATGCCACGTGCTGTTTTTGCATCAATTTAATCTAAATTACTCATCGAATAACTACCAAAATATGGATGGTTTGGGCTAGTACTCTTTACAAGATTGACCTATTAAGATGGAACCCCAAGTCTTTGCCTTTGTTTGACAACCATTATTTTAAAACTCTTTAATCCGCATACTCATTTTTAATCACACATTTACACGATAAAATATTTTGCACGTAAACTCAAATTTTTCAAACAGTGGCTTAATATAGTATCAGAGCCTATTAAATTCCAACGAGCAATTTGATCCAATTAAGACTCAAAAACGTTCACACGAATTTCAAAATTGATATGCTCAAACGAGCCATCATCTTGCGGGGCATATTAAGGAATAAATCCCACATCTAGTAAATACCAAATTATAGACCAACATATAAGGTTTTAGACCACTCATCTTAATAAAGTTAACATTTTAAGATTGAACGCCAAGTCTTAATAATATCTTATATTAATGTGAGCATTCTGAATCTTTGGGTGGTTATTTTCTTGCGTTGTTCAACCGATATGGGATTTGGATTGTTCTCATAATATGAACAAAGCATTGATGTGTAATCCTTTTTACGAATTAGATAAAGTCTCATAATTGAAGATAAGGCAATTTCTTTGATTAGGATCAGTCTCTAGTCATATCTTGGACAGCCATTAAATGCAGATTTTTTGAATGAAATTCTACCTCCAGGGTATGATAATCACATGGACCTCCTATCTAGTAATTCCAGTGGTATTCCCATTCTGTAACATTAAATCTTTGTAGAACTTTGCCATTTCATCTTAACCTGTTCTAATTCTATCCCTTTTTTCCTCGTGAAGTCCTCGTTCCTTCTGTAGAATGACTCTAGTGTCATTCTTATTCTTATCATGACTAAAATGACAATCTATATATCTTGCCTTGGTTACTTAATCTAAAAACCCTTAAATTCCAAAGCGCTCCTCCAAAATTTAAATTTACAAATTATCCACGCCCCATAGTCTCATCAACACATCAATTGAAACAATGTTATTAGAAGCTTCCACCACAGGTTTCTCATGATCAATATGCCTCATAAGTTATCCATGACTAAAGCGAAAATAATGACCCCGGACAACACAGAGATTCTTGGTAATAAGAAATTCGCTAGTACTACAGTTGCTAGATCGTATACTCTTGACAATTCCATCATGCACGTCCTTAATGTTATTATACTATCAAAAATACCTTTACTCTAGCATCTATCATAAAACTTACGTGGACATCTGTTTTAAAAAATTTTAAATTAATAAAGACTACTTGTTTCCCATCATAGGGCTTTCTAATAGTTCTTTAGAGTTTTATGATTCCATTTATAACAAAACACAGTAACAGTTATTTCCGTATCAATGATTATTGATAATAAAAAACAATAACAATTACTTCCCTCATAGTAAATTATGATAGTGATTTGGTAATTATCGTTATATTATAAATATTAATTTAATTATAATTGTCAAAGTTTCAAGGTATGATTTTTTTTTTTATATATATATCTCTGAAATTTATTAGAAGTGTTACAATCTGTACTTTTTGAACAATTATCTTGAAGTAAATTATATAAGAAATTCAATAAATATGCTAGTGAAAAACTGAACATATAACGTAGTAGTGCATTGTACTTTTCATTTTGCATAACTCACATGCACGTTGACAGGATCCAACTGTAAAAGCAAGAAAAAGAAGAATAAGTGCAGGAAATATTTCTGTATTGATTGAATGAAAATTACATCCAAAGGAAGATATAGCCATTCAAGGGGGCCACACTCTCCTAATCTCACTTCCACCCACTCAATTCCCTCCCTCACTTACTATCCTTATTCTATTTATAACCTACTTGTAACTGCTTCTATCCACCTTAGCTCATGCTAACGGAATTTGTTGTTACCCCCAAGCCTTCTTGATCATTCTAGAATAGATATATTTGATTGGGGTCTATCAGTTGTATAGTCACCTTTCATTCCTGTTTAGCTTGCTGGAGCTAAGTCTAGCTTCCATTCACAATAATTGGATTTTCAATGAGGCAAAAACAAATTTTTTTTCTATTTCAATGAGGTTAACCGTTGATAAATAGTTTAATATATGTGTGCGCGCGTGTGTGTGCACGTGCTAATAAAATGTAGTGAAAAGAGTTAAGTCTGTCCAGTGTTACCCTTTTTTGGAATGAGTTTTCTATGTATACCATCATGATAAAAAGTAATCTATGCTGATACTCCTAACAAACTGTTCTTCACCAAAATCGTCTGATTTTCTATGTGGAAATGTCACTTGTTTTGCAGTATCCAAGAGTGTCAGAGGTGCATGAACCACTGTCATCTCACCATGAAACAGTTTCTGCTCTCTCTACAGGGCTTTTGGTTGATACCAATCTAGATACCTCTGTCCTGGACACTTATAGGCCGCCTCCTGCACCAATACCTTATGATACACATGTAGCACGCCCTCGTACTCTATCACGGGATCGAGAAAGTTCTGGAAGCAAGAGCGAGCCGGCTGTGGAGACCACAAATACAGAATCTGTTGAGGAAACTAACTCTGGCAGCACTTTGGACACAAAAGTCAAAAGTTCAGACTCTGACGAGAAGGTGCAATTTAGTATTGAACTGAAAGAGTCAGAAGAAGTAAAAAATGAAGACGATCTTAAGAAGTCCAGTGAACGTCTCGTTTCATCTCCACTGGATGAGGAGGATGTTTGTCCCATCTGTCTTGAAGGTGATTAGAATCAGTTAACTCTTTTTCAACTCTTGATATACACTGTTGTGTTAACTTGTGTTTGGACTTGAAGAAGTAAATCTAAACTTTTTCTCTCTCCCTACAGAATATGATGCAGAGAATCCAAAACTCATCACAAAATGTGATCATCATTTTCACCTTGCTTGTATTCTCGAGTGGATGGAAAGAAGTGATACTTGTCCCATGTGTGATCAGGTTAGAGAAAAAATTTCAAGTCCTGTTTTTCTTTAACTGATCTTTTGTTCAAAATAACACTGTTCATTACCTCGACAGTACTGTGAAGATATTGTTTTCTTCAATGCAGGAAACAGTATTCAGACCTCCTATTGATGTGTAGCCGCTGAAATACAGCAATTCGGGTTTTAGCTTTTGGATTTGGAGCATGTGAAGGTTTAAATGCATTGAAAAAACTATAGGTTTTGTTAATTTGTCTTTGGAGACACTTTTATTCTTTTCCTTATACTTGGTAGTGATGGAGCATGGTCATTATATTTGTAAAAAAATCTTGTATTTGGATTCCAATTTCGTGTCGATAGACCAATGCAATTTTTGCCCAAGTTTGTGTATATATAGTTCATTATATTTGTACAAAATTCTTTCTCTCTTTCTTTTTTTTTTTTTTTTTTTTT